ATTAAACACCTAATTGCAATGGCCAGATGAGGGAGCTAAACCTTTAAGCCAGCACTTGGTTCAATGCATAATTGCCACGTTTGCTTGTCTCAGCAGTTGGCAGTGTTTATGGCCAAAATGTAAGTTTTTGCAGCTGCTAACAAGGCCAACAAGCACATGCACATTGCGTATACGCCAGTTGGTACGCCTCAACCGCAATACAAAATGCTGCTGGCAATTGTAAACAGCTGAGCCAACTGCTCGCCGGGCTACTAAATAATTTAACAGAAAAAGAAAAACTTAAGCCATGGCTAATAAAGCACAAAAAGTGGCAGCCACAACGTCGTCAAGTGGCTTTAAATGAATTGCAATGCTGCTCGAGTGCCAGCAAGGATCTGCTGCTGCTGTTGTTGCTGCTGCTTAATGTTGTTAGCTGCTGTGGGCGTGGCAGCAGCAACAACAAACAAATAAACAAACTGATGCAACATTTGTTTACTTCTGATGGCAACTTCAATGCAGCAGGCAATCAGTTGACTTGACTGTAACTCTTGTGCGCGCTTCCCCTCACGTTCTCTCTGGCGCATTTTCTCTTCTATTTTTTTCTGGGACGAAAATGCAGACTAGCTACATTTTTCACTTTTCGCTCTATTTTTTCCCATATACTTCTATTTTTTTTTTGGCTTTCTCTCGCTTTTTCCTATTTTTTTTTTTTTTTGTGTCATTTTGGCATTTTATTTTGATAAATTGCGCGCCAAGTTTTCAAGCACGGCCCCAACCCTGGTCGAGTGGGCGAGCCGCTCAATGCTGAAGCATTTAATGATGCTGCCACACCAAAACCCTTTGCGCCTCGAGTCGCCTCGCCCTGTCTCAGCTCTGTTGCATTGACCTCAATTGTGTGTTACAATTTCGGGTTTTAGCCCAAAACTAGTTTTTCAGTCATGAGTTCATGTGTACTTTAAGGGCTGTTCATGCAAAATAATCATTAGTTTTGCTTAATTAGCGCCTCGTACATCTGAATGACAATAATTTCGCAAACAATTCTCAGCACATTTTCGTATCATTTGCTTTTTTTTTTTTTGCTTTGTCACTCGCATGCAAACACCTCAAATACAATTGGCATTGCATCGAATGCGCATAAATTATGCAGATGAAGCAATTAGCAGGATGAGTGTGCAATTTTTGGGGCCACTTGCCCATATCTGCATTTAACATTGTCACCTGACAGCTACCGTTGCTAAAAACATTTCCAAATTTACATACAATTTCCATGCTCATTTGCCAAATTCACAAATTAATTGCCAAACGCACACACGCACATGCAAACGCGTGCAGCGAGAATAATTTAAATGGAATTTTCTAGTGCCTAATGAGGCAATAACCAGAACAACCGCATTCCGATAGTTAATCGATAGATAATCCAGCAAATGCTGCGCTGCGGTTCTCCCAATGCCAACTGCATATTAAGCAATTAAACGTCCCAAATGAAATAACGCCACAAGAGAGGATATTATAACGTTTTTATTACAATTCAATTTACGCATCTAGTAAGCTGCCAAAAAAAAAATGAAAATGCCGCCTTACCAAAGCTTAAATACCCTTCCAAACCAGTTTACAAAAAAAACCCTCGAAAGGTGTTTTCCTAGGTACTCAATAGGGTTTTATTCTAAGGAGCAACTGGCTTTGGATGAGGATGAAAAATAAATAAATAGAAAAAACCTTATGGTAACGCGCCCTGTATAAAGGTCTCATATATGTCTCAATCAATATGATTATTAATCGGAATATTTATCGACCTTCTTTTTTATCGACAAGCTTCGACACACTCACATATTCTATCCCATTGCGAGTGCACAAAATGTTGAGTAAAAAGAATATGTTTAAGCCGCTTGCTGCTCGGCGGACACCTTGAAAATGTAATTGCCCGAATAAGCAAATTAAATCCAGCATTTGCATTGAGTAATTCGTTGAGTACACACTCACAAATATATAAATACACGTTCGCTAAGTATTCACAGCTGCTTCAGGTGCTGACAATGCGACTTATTGCTGCTGCCTCTGCTGATTCCACAAAAAAAAAAGAAAAGAAAATGAAGAAGAAAGAAAGCCAAATCATAAATAAGTAACATAAAAATATGTGCTTGATGTATGCAAATGTCGTTGCTTGGGCGCGAATAATACAATTTCAATGGTATTCAGAAAAACAATTTTCATAATTGAAGCAAAAACATTTCAGTGAGCCGCATTCACAATTTGCATAGCAACAACAACAGCAAAGCTGGGCAGTAGCTTAACATTTAAATATATATATTTTTAAATATTACAAAAAAGTTATAGCACACATTACATATATATATGTATATATCATGTTTTTTTGCGCCCATAAAATTGTTTTCGGTGCTTTGCTGATTTATGAAGCTGTCGACTGGTCAAAAAAGTTTTGCCACCTGCCACGTGGCACTTGAAGTTTGTTTGGTTTTTCATGTTTGTTTTTTATTTTTTATTTATTTTTTTCATTTTGCGCATAAACTTTGCAGACGTCTATCGAACGGATTAGCGGATATGGCAGCATTATATGATTCCGGCTAACTGCAGCTCATTGGCCCTTTATGGCCGCTTAGTCGTAATTTTTATTATTTGGTCCACTCGAAAAAAGAAAATCAACAATTAAAAGCGCAGACTGCGCCCGCGGGGCATGCTGTGAACAAATTGAGGTCAGGCAAAGGGCTACACATAACGCCTGGAGAGCAATTGGACCAGAGCTGTGTGGGCGAGGGGCAGAGGGGCAGTGGGCGGTGCTGGTTGGAAAAACCCAAACAACAGTTAAAAGAAAATTGGCTGCTGTTGCTACAGGCGACCGCAAATGAAGTCGACGAGGCAAAAGGAGTTGCAGACAGCGCGGGGCCTGCGCGGCAGAGGGTTCGAATGGAACTGGATGAGAATCTGGCACTTGGCCGTGGCGTTTGGCCAGGCGCTTGTTTTCGCATTGGGCCATAAAAGCAACACAAAATTGTGCTAATTAACCCTAAAAGCATATCTTTGTGTGTGTGTGTGTGTGTGTGTGTGTCTGAACACACTGCCTACCACACAGCAAACCCCTTCGCGATACTCTGGCTTTGTGTGCGTTTAAAAATTATTATGCACATTATGGCTGTTCATAGCTTTTATAACCCAATTATTATGGCAATAGCAATGGCAGGACCTGGCCACGCCTACCTCAGGCGCTGCATCGCCTTTGTTTGTTTAGATAAACAGCTAGTTACATAAGCGCCCCCCTCTACCTCCTTCCTCCCACTAAATGCTGCACAAATAGTTTTACGATGCGATGTCAAGTGGCAATATCACGCATACGACGCGTCGCCCGCACAAAAACGCATGAGTAATTAGCCCATTAAAGTCAGAACAATATATGCATTTAGCATGTTGCTATTGCCATTATTATTGTTCATATTTGTTATTATTTATTATTATATTTTTTTTTGTTTTTGTTTATGCTTGTTGTTGTTTCGGTTGCTCTGCGCTGGTTGCCACGCACCGCAAAAATTAAACGCAAACATTTGTTAACAACTTTTGATGTGTGTGTGTGTGTGTGTTTTGGCAGCCCAACTAAGAAAACATATTGCCAAACGGAAGCGACAAGCCCGCACGCACCAACCCCCTGCCGTAGGGCAACACACGTGGCTGAAGCAACAAAAGTTGGTTCGAATAAAAAAAAACCCGAGGTGCAAAATGCCTGTCAATAGATTAACCACAACGTGTAGCCTGCGATTGATGGCGAACAGCAAATACGAAGCTGGCAAATTATAATAATAAATAAATTAAGTCAACAATTGCACAGAGATGTAAAATGAATTCATGAAAAATAAAAAGTTAGCTTTTCGTAGTTAGGTTCGTGATGTGCTTGGGTCATCAATCAGTCAATCAAATAGGGCAAGCAGTTAGCTGTGTGCAGATGTATTTAATATACATTTAGATGTTTAACTGCTTCTTTCGAGTAATATTATCGAAAAGGCATTAGACATTAGGCATTTGGCGTCATGTGGCGCGCATAAAACGCGCAGCGATAAAATAGCGCGGAAATGTTCAGATTATTCGGCCAAAAGGCGAGTCATCCTGCTGTTGCCACAGCAAATGTCAGCGAAAGCAAATTTAAATTTAAGCGACACGCCACTAATGTGAAGCACAACAAAGTGTGTGAGAGAGAGAGGGAGAGGGAGCGCCGGGCAGGTGTATAGATATGAGTTGAACACAGTGCGTCGCCGCTCGCACCGGATGTGCGTGCTTTTTTTTGGCTGCCTGCCTGGCTGCATGCCTAATGCCACAAAGTCATTTGGCGGCTTTCAGACGAAAAATAAAGAAAATAAACGTAGCCAAAGCCAGAGCCAATGGCAAAGAAAAATGAAAGAAAAACCAAGACAAGCCACGCATCATTTATAATGCGTACAACGCGGCGTATGTGTAACCTGCCTTTCCAGTTGTCGCTGTTGCTGTTGGCCAAAATAGCATTGTTGTTGTTGCTGCCGCTGCGTGTGTTGTTATCATTAGCGTTACTACGTTTAACGCCTTTTGCCTGCGCCGTGAGCCCAAGCGAGTTTTCCAACTTTTGCCGAAAGTTTGTGACCTTTTAAATGTAGCCAAATTATGCGTAAGTTTAGCTCTATTCGAACTGCTCTAAGAAACATGTCTACAACGCAGCATTTACTTTGCCTAAGTCCTTTTCTAAATACAGTCAAGATTCTCTTTAATTAATGGCAACAAATTCTCAAAGACTTCGCTTGGTCTTAAGGCTCAAACTTCTCAACACGATATATGGGGAAGGCCAAAATTGTAGCAGCTCTTCACGAATTTGTACAGTCGGACTACGCTATGACTAACACTCGATATCAAATTTGAAGCTCTTTATTTCACGTAAATATAAATTTATAAAGATAAAATGATTAATTGTTGAATAATATATATAATTTGCATAGTGAATATTTTACGAGAAGCTTTCAAAATTTACAATTTAAGAGTACAGTGGTACCTCTCCATAAAGAACCACTATTAAAAAAGTCTTCATTCATTATTCTTACAGGCAATTTTAGAATCTGTGCTAAACTAATCACAAAATATTTCAACAGCTGTGTTTGTGTTAATCTTTACTATGTGACAGCTCTAACGTATATTTTAGCTTCAAGTATTATATATATATATATTTAGCAAGAGCATTTCCACTTCGTTGTGTGGCGCCACATTCTATCTCAGCGAATCTATGCTGCCTCGCTAAATAGAAGCATGGCAAGCGCTGACTATGGGTAGTTCCCTTCCCCATTGCCACGCCCAGGCGCTTCTCCAGTTTCTGTCTGACGCCTTGCAACGATGATATATTAATTGGGTTTTTATTTATGATGCGATGGCTGTTGCTTTTTTTTGTGCTGTGTTTTCGTGTTTTTCCTTTTATTTGGTAAATTGTCGTCGCTGTTTCCGATGTTTTTATTTTTTATTTATTTATTTTTTCTATTTGTGCTAGCTAATAATTGATTTTTGGCCCGCACACACACTCGCTGTCAACGCTGACCAGTTCAACAAACTGCTGACGTCTGCCAGCCAAGTTCGGGAGCAGCCAAAACACTGACCCACAAGGACCCAACGAACTGAGCTCTAAATGTTATTTGCCATGCATTCGATGTGTGTATATTGTTGTGTGTGCTGTTGTTGTGTGTTGTGTGTGTGTGTGTGTGCAGCTTAGGGACTCGCTGTGTGGCTATAGCAATTTATTAGTAGCTGTAATGAGCAGAGTTTATTGATGTCCCGTGTGTTTATGATCTAAATTTACATGCACACCAATACACAGACTCACACACACACACACTCAGTGTCCATGGGGCAATGCAAACACTTGTCATCATTAAAATAGCTGCAGTTGCAACAGATGTTGTTGCCGTTGCCATTGCTAAACAATAAATAAAGGCAATTTGCAGCTGCAATTATTATGAAAGCTGATAACAACAGTTAGCCAACTACCTACCCACAACAAAAACACACACACACACACACACACGCGCACACACACTCAGCTGCCATACGTTCATAACGTTTTGTATAAAGTTAGCCAGGCTCACAGTTGAAATGTTTGCTTGTGTACTGGATGCCCGCAGACACTGGTTGCCCACTTTGCCCACAAAAGCTAAAACTAAATACGAATATGCACTCACTTTAAATGATTGCACAATGTGCATTAACTATATATAATGCCAGCTTAAAACACATATATCACAATCGTAGGCATAACAGATTTTATTGAAATCTTCGCAATACTGTCTGTTGTCTGAGCTAGGGTAGGCATTATTCGGGGTAAGAGCAAGTATTATTCTGTTCAAGTGCTTGTCAATCACAGTTCCACACATTTTCCGCCATTGCCACTCATGCGCTCATTTCCATGTAAAGGCGTGAAAGAAGGCATGTAAAGGCGAAGCTCTAAAACACATTTGGAAAAAATAATATTTTAAATATTTTACTAAATGTGTTTGCACTTGGTCGGATAAAACCATTTCCCTTTCATGGAAAACCTCTTTGAATCAGAAAGATGCAATTATATTATCACATGTAATTTGTTATATTGTCAATCTTTCGCCTGGACGCTTGCAAAGGCGATATTAAAGCATATTTATTTAATTGTATCTTAGTAAATACCCATCCAAGTGCTGCCATAGTTGAACACAGGGAAATGTTTTGTCATTATTACAAATTACAAATCACACACACACTCACACCGACTCTTACACAGGCACATTGCGCATAATCAGTCGAGCATTTTAGCGGCTTTCATAGTAAATGGAAGCCATTGTTAAAGGCAACTAAAGCCTGTTCAAGGCTATTCGCAGAAGTGCTTAATGCACTGTTGAATAGTGAAGCCAAATTGAAATCAGCTTAAATGCTCCAGATCGAACATATGGTAATAAGTTATGAACGAAATCAATTTGCTTGTACAATGCGTGCAATATTCATGGGTCTACTCGGAATTCAATGGCTGCTCTCAGCGCGCACTTTGCGCTGGGAAACTGAGCTGCTAAATTGCTTAAATGGAACTTTATTATAATGCCGCACACACATACACACACAAAGGCAGTATGCTATCAGACAGCTGTCACGCCCACAAACACACGCAAACACACAGACATTCATGAAATTAGACTAATGAAAACAAATGCATATCGAAATTAATCCCATAATGTCGTCTTATTTATAGACAAGCAGCAGTAACAAATGGGCCAAGTCATTATCGTTGCCAAACGGTAGGCGTTGCTGTGTGTACGGTGGGCGTGGCCGAAGAACCACTTCATTAGATATAAAGCAATAAAGCAGCGAGAAATGCAAAATCATTGTGAGAGGCTAAAATCGAAGCGAGGGCGCAAAAGTGTTGTCATTTGTTGCACGCAAGCGCTGCCACACACACAGACACACACGTGCAACATCATGATGTCATGAGAAGAGGAAGAGCAGCAGCAGAAGAAGCAGAGGCAGCTAGAGCTACATCTGCCTGCTTCCTGCTGTTCCTCATAAACAAATACTCATGATGCGTTTTAATTAGTAAACCGACCGCTAAATAGTTAATTTTCTAGAGAGAGAGAGAGGGAGTGAAAATGTGTGTGTGTGTGTGAGAGAGAGAAAGAGAGAGGTGGAGTGTGTTAGAGAACAGAAGAAGAGTCTCTGTTGAGCAGACGACAGCAATTTGCATTAGCAGACATTCAAGTTTTGCCAGCTTGTAATTAAAATAATAAACACGCACAAAATGCATTAGAAAATTTTAGCTGAGATCTGCGCAAAGAGAAACTCTGACAAAACGTTCTGCTGCTGCCTGCTTAGACGAGGGGCCGGGTCGGGTCTGGCTGCTGAGTGGTTGTGGCAATTGTCACAGCAACACACATAAACACACACAAGCTAACACAAGCGCCCACGTTACGGCTGGCAGCGTATGCGGCTGAAACGCTAGACAATGGCACACGTTGCGTATACGCAACGCTGGATAATTGTTTGCGCAGTCAAAGTGAATGTGTGTGCGTGTATGTTTGTGGGCCAAACGTGTGCTATTTGTGTTGGCTGTTTCACTTAGTGCGTTTCTGACTTCAGGCCTCAGGTGCACATTGTGGCTAGAGCGAGCCAAGAGGGAGCAAAGCCGGGGTTTCGGCAGACAAGAAGTTCGTCGTGCCGTGACCATTGTGTGTGGCATGCGCCACACACTTGACCCGCAAAGCAGCTACAATGGCCAGCCAACTGGGCCGAGAGCTGCTAATAACAAAATCAAGCTGAAGATTGACCAGGCTGCATGCAGCATGCTGCTAGTTGCTGCGACAAGAGCTGAACAAATTAGATAGCATGCAACAGCAGGATCAGGATACACAAAATAATTATCCGCTTGGGGCTTATATTAACGCAAATACCTTTCGTTTATCCCTGCCCGCTCTCTATCATCCCAGCCACTATAAAGCAAGTGCAAACAATTTTTGTTGGCCACAATCAACATTTAAACGTTTCCAACTACTTAGCCGCATTTTGATGGCCAGGCCAGCAACACAATGAGACACTCTTGCATTTCCGCCACTCAAACACACATACATACACACACACACACACCGAATTGTTGGCTTAACACTGCAACAACAACAACAATAGCAGAAACTGCAACAACAAGATGCAGAAAAATTACAAATGACAACAATAGGGGGCTGGTTGTGGCTGGTGTGTTGTGAGCGGTGGGTGGCGACTCTGAGGTTGACTGAGTGCTTGCCCGACTGCATTACAGCTCTAGACGTCAACTGTGTCAACGTGTTGTTGCTGCCGCTGCTGCTGCTGCTGCTGCTGTTGTGTCGTTGAGTGCGTCTGTCGACGCTGGAGTGTATCAAACACAACGCTACATCAGCTTCATACTTTTAGCTGCTACTGTCTCGCTGTGTGCATGTGTGTGTGTGTGTGTGTTCACTTGAGTGTCACTGTGCCAGTGAACGGCTGACCCACTTTGGGATAAGCACAGCGTCACCAACGCCAACAAAACACAAGCGAACCCAACAGCAGGGTGGGACAACAAGTGCACCGTGGAGAAAGTAACGCTTTCTATGTTATGAAGTGCATATTGAAACCCTTACGGTGACCAATCCTTATCTAAAACTACTTAGGAGAAGTATTAACACACTGTGCTCTTAAGATTACAGTAAGTTAACACATAATTTTCGCTAAAATATAACGCGCTGCCAGAGAACGTTTAAGGGAAGTCAAACAATTACTTTAATATAATAAAGCTAGGACTCGATTTTTAGTCAAAATGTTACAAATCCTTTTTTTTTGTTTGACGAATTATTAGTATAGCGAAATATTGTATTTTGCCCATTGTGCAGCTTGGGCAGCTGCACACTCACTTGTATTTATCATGCTGCACGAAAGCGTTGCATACTTTTCGGCTGATGACAGCGCTGCACAGAATGGCATTTAAATAACGCTGAAATATCTGCGGCCTGTTGTGGCAGCAAATAAATACGGATTTTTCAATTTGATTTTAACTTTCTACTTCTACTTTTTTTTTGTTTTCGGATTTTTTTTGGTGAAACAGCAATGCGACAAATGAAACCAAAGCCAAAAAGCAAACACAACAATTTTACTTTTGGGTTGCGTCAATTTGTTAGCGCTAATTTAACGTTGATTATCTGTGTCTGTCACACGTACACACACACACACGCACAAATGTGTGTGTGTGTTTGGGTGAGATAATGTGTAACTTTGGCAGCTCCAATTTTGGCTTTGGCTTCGTTTTGTAAGCAATTTGCCCGTTGACAATTAAATGAAAGTAAGATAAATTGTCGCGTTTGTTTACAGTTCAACTTGTCTCCTCTGTTCAATTCGAGCCAAATTCCAGCGGCGGTGGGTGTGGCAGCCAATCTACGCTTGTAGTGAGACACCCCCACCCCCGCCCCCCGTCGATTCCACTTCCCCGCTAGCCGCACATTGTATCGCCTAATTTATTAGATGGCTCGTTCCTTTTGCCGCAAGTATTTTTCCAAAGATAAATTCCCAAATGTCATGTCATTTGTTGTGGGCCCAAAGGCCTAAACATGCCAAGAGCTGCGAGAGACGGCTGTGAGAGGAGCGTAATAACATCGACAAGTCCTGACTATTTAGCCTTGTTAATATCTCGTTAGATTTCTACTGCGAGCACACTGCAAAAGCCGTTGCCGTAGGACTCGCAGCATAAAACTCAAGAGTAATCGTTTTTTGGATAAAAGATTTATGTGCAAAAGACGGAAAACTTTCAATGAAAATTTAAATATATTTTGTTAGCCTGATGCAGAAATTCTTTGAGACATTTCTTTCAAATATTAAATGGACTTTTTGTGCTTTGTGGCAATTAAAAGTTGAGTAAGCCACTTTGAGGTGTGTGACTATAATTGAGGCCGAATATTGATTCCCAATTGACTTTATTTTGAAATATTAAAGTGTGCACGTGCAGCAAGTTTTATTGTACCGATAAAAGTAGTCCATAAATTCATTTTTAATATTGTTCTGTGAAAAAAACATGACATTCAATATTGTTTAAAATACAATTTTATAACTTTCAAAGGTGAAAGCTTTAAGCCAGATAATGTCGAATGTTTTTATATGGATGTTGTTAACCTTTAGATATTTAATATATTTTCCTACTTCTAAGGCCACCATGAATTGACATTTTAGGGAAAATATCGAGTAGCAAGCAATTTATTCAAAACTCTGACGAAAATATCGTTTTTATAATTTTATTAAAAAACAATCCGATCTTACACTTGAAATATTCTTGTACAAAAATAGGAAGGTAATCAAAACAATATTTAATATTCAATATATTTAATAATATTTAATATTCAGGCATAACTTAATATAATACATATTAAAGTGCTTTGAATAACGTCTTACATCCTTGGCGGCTTCTGTTGGCGGCATTTGTTTGGACTGAAAGTATGTGGCCACATTTGGGTGTGGCCAGAGTAATGGAAATACAAATGAAAGCCGAGAAAATTGCAGCTGCAGCTGCTGGCAACAGCTGTGCAGCAAATGAGAAAAAATATAGATACAACGACATCGGCACACCGAAAATGAAATACCCTT